GACCCTTTTGTGGGTATTTATAGAAGTCAGTGAGGGTGCCTGAAGGGGGTGGGATGGGGGGGTTTGGTTTAACGAGTGGCTGCTTGTTTTGGTGTCATTCCAGTTTATTGATGTCTTTTTAAGGTTACGTTGTCTAGTACTGGATACAGTAGTCCAAATAGGCCCTGACCATGGAAGAGTAGAGGAAGACAATTATTTTCCATTTTCTGAATTTTATGCTCTGGCTAATGCACTCCAAAACAGTGTTTTGCCTTTTTAGCAGCTGCATCACACTATGGCTCATATTCAACTAGTGATCTAATAGAACACTTAAATCCTTTTCACATGTACTACAACCAAGAGAGGTCTGCCCTCTATACTTGTGCCTTTTTTTCCCTCCCCAGATGCAAGAATTTACATTTCTCCCTGTTAAATTTCATCCATTCATTTCTCCTTCAGGATTTCAAATCATTATATCTAATCTATCTTCTGAGTTTATCAAAATCCACCCTTCCAAAATTTAGAATACAAATCTGACTCTTCTCTATTTCTCTACCCTTGATATCATTAATTCAATAACACAGTTTCTCCCCAAATTCCTTCTTGTTGCTAAAGATTAGGTCCAGAAGAGACTTCATTGTTCTTCTACCTCCTGACAGTTGTCTACAAAAGAGTGCAGGATTTGGTTGGACCTCTGACTCTTGGCAAGGTTAGATTTCCAGCACTGATCAGGGCAGCTAAAATCTCCCATTATTACTATTGTGTGCTTCTTTGGAAATCTGGTAACCAGATGCAGAAAGGCCACATCTGTATCTGCTGCCTCTCAAGGCATTTTATAATAAATGCCACAATGATGTCACATTGATTTCTTTCTCCTTTTATTCTTACGCCAAAGCTCTTTACAGTATTCATGAATTTTTGGGCAGGCATATGCTTTATTCATATGTAGCACAACACTCCCTTCTTGTTGAGGGCATTCATTTCAAATAAGTTATAGCATTCCAAGGCTATGTTTCAGGCCCATGTGTCACCCCACCAAGTTTCAGTGACACCTTTGACATTTGTCATTGCACAGGTATCTTTTCTTCAAGCCATCAGTCTCATTCCCACACGGCTAACAATCTGGGGACATATCAAGTGGATGGCAGGCTATTTCCCCATTCCCATAATATAAAAGAGACACAGCCTAAACACTCAGTTAAACAAATGTGTTTATAGAGCTAACACACATTATCTAGCAAATTATTTAAAAATTGCATCTTCCTTCTGATTGCTTCCAAAGCTTCTCCAGAACCCAGAAAGAGGGTCAGAACAGAAACAGCAGCCAAATTACTTTCCACCCGGAAGACTATTTGAAAAATTAACTGAATAGTCATTTGTCAATTCTGAAATTGCAATTATAGAAGAGGAGTTATTAAAAAGTACATCTTAAATAGCCATCTTAATTATAATCAAGAGTGCTTTGTAGAGGTCCATGGTTTATAGGGATAATAAATGTAATTTTTATACATTTGCTAATTGTTCCAAATGTTAGAAATGCAGCATACATGATTTGTGTTAAGAAACTTCAACCCACTGTAAGCCTCCGAGCATGCTGGAAAACCATAAAAGGAGTAGTATCTGCTACATGTCTTCAGATTTGTCAGCACTGAAGGATGCCTGTATTTTAGATGGAGATGAAGATACAGTACATTATGTTCAAGTTCTTCCTTTGGCTTGCAGGCTTTGGACTGTGTGTTACCCTGTTAACTGTCCCTTTACTTTCTTATAGCCGGGTAACCAATTAAGTTTCTTTGGCAAGAAGACTGTAAAGGTTTGCTGCCATCTGGTGGTCACAAACTGAAATGCTAAAGGTTTTATCTTTATTTCACTACTGTAGTATGTAATTAGAGTTGCAAGAAAACATTGGGGCAAATGTTTCTCTTCTGCGAACCATGACTTATTCTATTTTAAGATATTCCATTCTATACAGATACACGCATACCATGACAACAGCATGCTTAATTCTTACAGAATTGTCTGAACTTTTTTTAAAAAAAATTTTCCTTCTGAACTTCTGCATACCTCAGTTACCCAGATATGCTGTTACTTCCCTCTTGTGCCTGGGTAGTGCTGTTAGAACATGAATTCTCTATTAATATACTAAATACGATTCTTAAGAGGATTCCCTGGTCTGCATACATTAGTTTTCTTGCATCATTAACAACTCTGAAGTGGCATGAAAATACTGAAGGAGTGCTTCTCACATCAGTCCATAAAGGGTCAATTTGCAACTTTATTCTCCTGCCTGCATTTGAAGGAAGAAGAGTTTACTGAGAAGATCCTACTGTCCTGGAACTACTATGGTTGACAGGATGCTACACAGAGAAAACTCCCATCTACTTTTAAATCTTATGATGCCTCACAACACAATGGCTATTCCATTCATTTCTCTCTCTCTCACACACACATACAGTGTGCTAAAATAAACAAGAATACTGAGCTGCCTAGCTGTTTTGTCTCCCGCTGAGTTAGGGGGAGGGCAATATCAACTTTATCTGATGGATCTCAGTGCTACAATATTCTTGTTAGAAGCAGAGCCTGCAGATATGAACTAACTGGAGTGGCATATGGGAGGGAAGGAGACAGACAGACAGATCTTGGACCTGGAAAATCTACAAAATAGACCGGAGAGTTGAAAGACTCTGATACCAAAATGGATACTTGATCTGAATAAAATACAGCAAAGGTAGTGAAACAATGAAATGTAAAATCAGGGGCTTTATCAGCACATGATCAATAGCTGTACACAAACAAAAATTCAAAACCACTTAAAATGCCTTTTAAAAAATCCTCCAGTCTATTATTTGTGACTTCAGAGTCAACCACAACTAGAGCAAAATTCCAAATTTATAAATATCCTTTCATTCCTGGACATTGTGAAGATATAGGAAGCACACAGCTGATTTCCTGGTTGATTAATACTTTCTATTTTCTTTCCATTTAGCAACAGAAACATCTCCAAAGTGGAAATGTCTGTCTATTATAGGAATAGCCAAGGTAGAGTTTTATTATTTTGATGCTAGCATGAAAGCAGGGCTACCAAGTCCGGGCTGGAAAAATCTGGATGGCCACTAGATGGCAACAAAGAATTACAGTGGTGTCATCTATTGATCATCCAGATTTTTCCAGTCCAGATATGATAATATTCACTTTCATTAGGGTTATCTGCATTTCCAAACAGATTCAATCAGAAATTGCAATTAATATTTGTAAGAAATATAATGCTAGATAAATTCTGGCACCTAGACTTCGAAATTAACATTGTGTTAAACTTTTAATCTCAGTGTAAATTATGAAGGGTTCATATGGTAGGGTTGTCTGTTAACCACACCCAATTCATAATTCAGTTCAGATGAAGAACTGCTATTTAAACTACTGTGATACCATTACATAGGATTAAATAACTTCAATGTAAGTTCTCAGCTAAGCTGTGGCTCCTTAAATGTTACTAAGCATATCCTTTCCATATTGACAAACAGTCTTGGAACCATTCTCCTGAAGATAATATTAAAATAACTGATTTGCTTTATAAATCTGAAGTGTTCCACTTCAGTCCGCAAATGGTACATCATGTTGTCATACTTGTTCATAGAAGAAAAATTAACAAGTGTCAAACTTATATCAAAAGGTGAAGGCTAGCCTAGATCTGAAATCCTAGAGGTTTTTTTTAAAAAAAAAAAAATATGCAGGGAGAGTATTTTTACATTACCCACTGTAGAAGACAGGGAGAAGTTATTTACATTACTCATTCTGAAATCAGCTACTTTTACAATTTCAGGGTATGAAGAAGATTAGTGCAGTAGCACTGAATGAGAAGTACAATCCTTACATAGATAGGTTTTTCCTAAAATGTATATTCTCTGCTATTTGTGCTCCTAAGGCAACTCCGGTTTTGTGGTTGTTATCCTAGGTAACTCACAAAGCCTCTGCATGGGAAGTAATCGGTTACCACTGACATTGTTTAGATACACAGGATATGCAGATAGAGAGGATAAAAAAGGGTAACATGGAAGCATATTGCCTTCATGAGAGTGTCCAAGGATATGTTCTTGAATTTTCAGTTGGCTGTATTTATTATTGCCATTCCCCTTCCTCTTGTTGGTTCCTGTTATTTATCATTGCCTGGACCTAGAAAACAACAAAAATCCAGAGTTTCAGTCGTTAAAGATTCTTCAGAAGATAACAGCAATCACAAAAGACATCTTATAAGGATGAAGTCTAGTTTACTCCAGACTTTGTATGTTGGTGCTGTTCCACAGTAGTACGTCTAATTAATGCAATTAACAATATACATACTTCTTTGGGTTATAGATAAAGCAAACATTTTATGTAATTATCACAGTTGTGACAATTACATCTTGTGCACCAATTGTGAGCTTTCCTGGACTAGGAGGCATTCAGGCCTTTATTACCTCATAACTGAACTACAGCAACTATGTGGAGCTGCCCTGGAAAACCACCCAGAAGCTTAAACTGGTTCAGCTTGTAGCAGTCCAGGTTGAGGATCTCAAGATTTGCCTACATGACACTTCTATTCTAGGATCTGCACTAGCTGCCAGTCAGTTGTTGGTGCAATTCAAAGCGCTGGTTATCATCTTTAAAGCCCTGCTCCAAAGTGAATGTCCATCCTATAACATCTACAGTGACCCTAGATCAGGACCTTCTCAGTGGCTACATCTCTAATGGGAAAGAACTTGCCTCCATATATAAGAACTATCTCTTCCCTACTGAGCATCTGAAAAGGTGAAAAAACATGGTTTTGGAAGACAGCATTTGGGATGTTAGGTTTTCTTTTATGATCTGCTCAGCTAGTTAGCGCTACTGCAGTATATAGTCATGGTCACAGTTTTGATGTTTTTAACCTTTATTTCTATTGTTTATTGCTCAGAGCCATTTTGGAAGAGAGTGGCATGAAAATACCAGTAATAAATTTATATTATTCATACATGCATACTGTAGAAATATGATCAATCAAGGAATCATAGGGGAAATTTGGCTCTCTCCCTCCCACAGTCCTAGGTTATGCATGAATTAACACATTCATTTTTGTTTCTAAAACAAAAGAACCTTTTCAAAGCAGGCCACAGAGAAGTGGGTGTAGTTTTATTCTCCTTAATCTCTTAGAACAAGAAAGAATGGGTGGGAAGTTTACAGAGAGGGATCCAAACATAAAATAAGGAGGAATTTCCTGACTGTGAGAGCTATTAAGCCATGGATCAGCCTGCTTCCTGGAATCATGGGTCTTCCATCATTGGAGGTTTAAAAAAAAAAAAAAAAGATTGGATGGTCATTTGTCTGATATGGTCTGAGGATTCCTGCCCTAGGCAAGGTGTTGGGATAGAAAATCTCCAAGGTCCCTTCAAATCATATGATTCTATGAAACATTTTCAGCCCTCCCCACCCAATAACATCACTGTATTCTGCCCTCTGTGGCCCTCAAAGACCAAAATACTTGGGGGGGAAATGTCCCCAACCCCTCCTTTAGAACATGCCATGGGACATACTGTACTCATAATATTTGTATCTATGTAAGTGCAGTGATAAAAGAATCAGGACAAATACTTCCTCTGTATGTAATTCACCTGCTAGAATGATGGCAAGGTGGCTGTTTTTTAAAACCAAGAGGTATTTGCTAAAGATATCTGCTGAAGATACATTGGATTCCTGGCAAAGTGGGATAATTCAGAACGTATGTTCATTTACTCAGGGCAGAGAGCACAGGTCTGAATGATTCTACTTTGATTCTGGGTCTCCATGAAGCTCTGTCCCTGATCTGTTTTTCTGCAGTTCTGGCATCTTGTAAAGAGTGCCCCCTGTAGTCATGTTAAAAAACAACAACAAAAAAAAACCCCAAGTGGGGAAAGGAGGGAATAAAGGCATTGGATTCAGTGACTGGTCTCAAATCAATACCTGTGCAGGGACCATTTTTGGTCAACTGAAACACAGTTTCTTGGATTGCTTTCTCTATGCCCCTTTTTTCCCCCAAATTTTTTTCCAGATTTGAATATCAAATTAGACTTGCCTACTTCTGCAGTGTGCAGAAATTAGTGTCTCAGATGGTCTTTATATACACACAAACATCATTTGGTCTATCTCCCCCCCCCCCAAAACTGTGCAATGCTTTGGGTTTGATTTGGAAGAGGTGCTTCAAAATGTACGGGAGTGGAAAGCAGCATTTGTCCGAGACTCATTAAAACAGCCACTTACTGCTGTGAGAAAGCTTCTGCTGCAGCCTTGCAATATGGGAAGAAACCCAGCTGCTTTAATGACTCACAGGAAAATGCTGCCCCATGCTTTCAGCATTCCACAGAAGCTCTTTTAGATCAAATCCAGATTGCTACATAGCCCTATTATCTTCCATAAGCCAACATAATTTTCTTCCAGAATTCAACTTCGGGCATATAAATGTTCTCTGATATTATCATGGACTTATTTGCTGCTACAGATAGTCCTCGGGTTATGACATTGTGACCAGGATTGCCATAACTCACTGTGGTCATAAAGCACATCATGTGACCGCATTGCTTAGCAACGGCAATCCTGGGCAGTCCCGGTTGCTGTCATAACCCCAAGATGCATGGCTTGTTAAGCGGGAAGAGGTGGGAGTCCTAGGTAAGAGCACAGCGGTGCCATCGGGGTGGGGGAGGCTGGGGTAGGGCCTGGGAGGACCAGTGCAGGCTGTGCACGAGTTGCAGGAGGCAGGGGAGGGCCTGAGAAAGCCAGCACAGGCCATGCATTAAGCAGGGGGAGGGCCAACGCGGGCCACGCACAAGTTGCAGGAGGCCGGGGGAGAGCCGGCACAGGTCACGCACAGGTGGGGGGCATGCTGCAGACAATATAAAAAGCAGGAGCGACTTATGGAGCAATATGCAACCTTTCTTGCTGGCTTTGACTTTGCTTGTGGGAAGCTGGCAGGGAAGTTGCAAATGGTGATCACATGACTATGGGGGTGCTGCGATGGCCAAAACTTGGGAGGACTGATTGTTCATTTTGTTAGCGCTGTAGTAACTCTGAACGGTCGCTGAATGAATGGCTGTAAGCTGAGGACTACCTGTACTACTGTTCTCTTTTCTAAAGCAATATATATCTATATATACTCAAAACTGCACCTTTTTCTTTAAATAAACACTGCAAACATACCTGATTTAATATAAACTCTAATGGATTCTCAGGTTTCTCATATACCAAGTTTTCCGTGATCTCCTGAACATAAAGAAAGCAGTCGTTACATTTGTTTCATAAAAAGCAAGTAACAAAATGCGTCAGCAAAAAAAGAGTAATTGTAGGTTGCATCAAAGTACAGTTTCTAAATCACAGGAAGATCAAGTCCACCTTCAGCCATGGAAACACACTAGATGAGCCAGTCACTCTCTCAGCCCAGCCTACCTCACAGGATTGTTGTTGTGATAAAATGAAAGGAGATCCCCATGTAAGCTGCCTTGTCTTCCTGGAGGAAAGAATATAAATCAAATAGTTCTACAGATAGTCCTCGTTTAACAATGGTAACTGGGACCGGCAACTCCATCGCTAAGCAACGCTGTTATAAAGCGTGATGTCACGTGACTGTACCAACTTACGGCAGCGCTCAGTCATTACCGACTCTGCAGTGACTGCTTTGGACAAGTCCTTTGCAGTTTCCAAGGCAAGGTGTTTCGGAAGTGGTTTGCCAGAGCCTCCTTCCTAGAGCAGAGCCCAGCTGGCGAGTGCAGGAGGCAGCTTTCTGTTGCTTTGCACCCTTTTTGGGCGCGCGCAGTTTTTCGCGCTTACTGGCAACTGCTCCTGACTCCTTTTTACAAGGCGCCGCCAGCATTTTTCCTCCCACCAGAGTGAGCGTACCCATTTATCTACTCACGTGAGTTACGGCAGCAGTTGTGGCAATCCTAGCTGCTGTCATTAAATGAATCCTGTGTGGTTGCAGCATCCCGCAATCACCATTTGCAACCTCCTGCTGGCTTCCCCATTGACTTTGCTTGTTGGAAGCCAGTACAGCAGGTTGCAAATGGACCACAGAACACTACAACATCATAATTGTGAGCCAGTTGCCAAGTGCCCAGATTGCGATCATGTGACTGCAGAACAGCTGCAACTACAAGGACCCATTGTAAGTTCCCCTTGTTCAGCGCCATTGTAACTTCAAACGGTTGCTGAATGACTGGTTATTCAACGAGGACTTCCTGTACTTTATCTTGGTTTGGTCAGACCCTATCAATTGTATTGTATCCCATTCTTGAGACAACACTTTAAGGAGGATTTAGGGAAATTGGAATAGATCCAGAGATGAGCATGATAAAGGAATTAAAAACTTAAAACCTACGAAGAAATGCTGAAGGACTGGGAATGTTTCATCTTCAGAAGAGAAGAAAGGCATGTGGATAAGATAGGACTTTCCAAACACTTGAAAGGATGTCACATAACAGAAAGTCAAGTCAAATTTAAAAGAAGGCAGATTCTGACTGAATATTAGAAAAAAAAAAAGTATAGTGATTAGAGCAGTTCAGTAGTGGAACTAATTACCCAGAATGGTGGTGGGCTCTCCTTCATTGGTTGTATTCAGGCAGAGATTGGATGGCCATCTATTGTGGATGTTTTAATTTGGATTCCTGCACTAAGCAGGGGTTGGATTCACTGGCCTAAAAGGTCCCTTCCAACTCTATGATTCTATGAGAAAGATGCAAAAGTATATTGTCTCAGGCAAAAATGGCTCACTTTTTGAAATGGGAGAAATAGGATACGCACAACATATATATAATTACTATCTGCAAGTGAATGACATCACTTGGAATTTCCATGTATCCAGTCAGACTTTTATCTGAATAACTAGAAGATTCAAATTAAAATGCATTTGATAATGCTGTCGGGGCTGAGCTCTGATACCCACACTGCTGACCACAAGTGTCACTGAACCAGAATCATCACAGAAACAGCATTAAAAGACATGCACCAAGGATAACAAGAGCCAAAAATCAAAACAACCAACAAAATATCATTAAGATAATTTAGCATGTAACAAATAGTATTTATACCCACTGCTACACCTTCACTAACATCAGTTCTTTGTTTTTCAGCTTATATTAAAGTTTTCTTTTGTGGCAAAAATGAAGAGTCCCTTGAGTCCATCTCAACTCTTGGTGACTATGTTAACATATCTGTGTAATTTTCTTGGCAACAATATGGAAATGGTTTATCATTTCCCAGTCTAAACTACAGCCCTAGAATTTCCTAATGATCTTTCATCAAAATACTAACTAGGACAAATGCTGGATAACTTTTTTCAAGATTAGGTAAGGTTACTAGGTGCTGAGACCTTGTAAGTTTACTCAAGTTAAACAGAATAATCAATTAAGACACACAATGAAAGCCAATGGAATGCTGTGCATTCTTGATAAACATCTCATGTATGAAAATACCTGATTGCTCTTGTCTAACAGTACAGACAATACAATTGAAATATTTCTGAACCAGTTTCTGAAATTTTAGTATCTAAAACAGATTTTCAAGTACAACTGGGAAACAAAATGTTAAAGGCAGTTTTAGGCATTTTCTAACTTATTCAGTATAATAGTGCATAGCCTGTATTCAAAATTGGGACTATTTACTTTTTTAAAGGCAAAGTTGGAACACAGGAACTTGAACTGTTTCTTGAAGGTCATCCTTGACAATTTTTTTCTGAAGAGTAATATTAATTAATCATTGCAGACATTTAAGTGGTTAAAATATTGTATTTGTTGCCTTGAATTGCATTAGATACATAGGACAGTTAAGTAACCAGGGGTCAAGCAGGGAATTTTATATTCTTGAAGATAGGATGAAGTAATTAAATAATCACCAGAGACAACCTAATCTGCTGGGTCCTGAACTCAGAAATACTTGACTATATAAGGATGGATAAGGTGATTCAAGTCAGCAACTGCAATATTCATATCCAAGTTAAAGAGTACGTAAGGACAGAAAGAGAACAGGTCACCTCAAATATCTGTAGGATGTTATGCTTCTCCACATACTGAAGTGAAATCTCAAAAGGATCTAGATACACTGTCGGCATTGGCTCGTCCAAAGGTTCCTCAGCAACTTCAGCTAGTGGAGCAGATTGTTGTACCACTTCTTGAGGTGATGCCTGTTGAGCCTGCACAAGGGTTTCCACTGATCTGACCAAACCCTGTGGAAATTCACCTTTTTTCTGAGTAAGCAAAGCTCCAAGAGTTTGCAAAGATGAAGTAGGAGACTGAGTCTCAGGTCGTGGTGCTGGAGCTTGTGGTGTTGCCTCAGAAACTTCTGGTACCTGATCTATAGATAATACTACTTTAAGTAGGTGGGCACTAGTCCTAGATGTTTCAGTTGTGGACCCTGGCAATGTAGGTTGTTCCTCTACCTCAGTAGTCAGAACCTTTTCATGCTGTTCCTACAGTATATGCAAATCAGAAAAAAAATTGAATCAGTTAAGAATCAGAAATGCACATGTATTTTTCTTATAATTGATTTGATCTACACAGTTACAATATAGACATACCCATCATGCTATTTCCTTTCTGAGGAAGCAGCTTTCTGCAAAATGCAGAAAAGGAGTAAAACCAGAGTCAGGACCAGAAATATTGGAACAAGGATAACTGTTTTGGCATTTGGCCTCTGTACACCA